GATCATATCGCACACTGCAACATTTCTCAACAGTGCATATGATTAGGGATGAAATGTACACACACAGCCAGTCATAAGCATGATTCACTGCAACATCATAGCTCAAGGACTTCCTTATGTACTAAATAGAATGTTTTTAAACAGAGGCACACAAAACTAGGTAATGCTGATTGGTTGAGTGAAAATGTGACCAGAGGCTTTCAGGAACCCAACTCCCCAAACAGTGGCTGAGGATTTGCTAATTGTGTTCACGGGACTCCACGGAGCGGAGCCACTGAGAATGGTGAGAACCAGCTGTACGCCTATGATTTTTAAAACTACATTTAGGGAACTGCACAGTTCATGTCTCCCTGGAGAGTTCCAATGGCATGTCATTGTTTTCTCTTTCCTTAAACCAAAATGTTGGTATAGAGCTAGTATGATTGGCTTACATTTGGTTAAAACGTTGAGTGACATTTCAATCAACAAATCAAAGGGAAGAATTTTGCCCTGAGATTGGTTTGGACTCCACCCCTATCCCCTATGCTATCAGGGCTGAAGGAATGTATTGAACATTTCAAGATAGCTAAGACAAACCTCTTTGATTCTGACTCATAGCAACCCTATAGGACAGGGTAGAACTGCCCCTGTGGGCTACTGAGACTGGAACTCTTTAGAGGAGAAGAAAGTCTCGTCTTTGTTAAAGGGAAGGAGGGAAACTTTTCCCTATTTAAAATGAACAGCTTAGAACCTATACCAGAAAAAGGAATGATTAGATCAAAGAGTATTTCCCTAGTGTTATAAGCTTTCTCCCATGTTCACACATGGCTTCGTATGTGTCATTTTTGACATAACATCCCACCACTGGGATCTCTACCTCTCCAAGCTCTATGACATCTGTTCTCTGAGTCTAGGTTTCCAAATCTGTGAAGGGGGTTTGTATCCTGAATCCTGACACCTATTACCTGGTGATCTTGAGCAAGTGACAGACCTCCAGGGCCCTGATTTATAGAAGGGGGTTATGTGTGGAACATACTTCAGAATTTTATCGTAAGGATGGAAGAAGTCCAATCATATACGGCCCTTAGCACAATGCTCAAACACATGGTAGTTGCTATTGACAGCATCGGGGTATTAGGTCCTAGCCATCTCCCACACCCCGCCCCTGCCCCTGCCCCTTTTGATGGTGGGTAAATGATCCAATGGATGTCTCTGGGGATTGGAGAAAGGTCCTCACCTATAGAGTCTGTCAAAAGGAGAAATGGGCCAGGGCTTTGGGTCCTTTTTGCCACCAGCTGGGGCCCCCTCTCCACTCTTCTTCATCGGTGGTGGTACGTGTTGGGGAGTTGTGGTTTGGGAGGGTACCTGGATTTGGTAGTTAGACACTGCCCTCAGGGACCCCCTTCGCTGACTCTGGTTACAGTTTGGCTACCTGGCTACCTCCGCACCTGCCACACCTGTCTTCCTGAGAAATCCTTTCCCACTGCAGGAAAACTACCCAGGCGTTGCCCAGCGGCTTGTCTCACCATTGCGCAATAGCCCCTTCCACCCACCCTCTGGACACCCACAGCCCTCTCACCCCAGCCTTCCACCCTCAGCTCGTGTGATTGGTTTGCATCTGGCTGCCATTGGTGGGCATGTTGACAGATAAGAACGGCAGTCCTAAATCCAAAGATGAAAGTCCAAGATTGGGGTCCAGTTTCATTCCAGTGTGGTCCCCTATGGGAAGTTTGCCTTTTCATTCCCGATATACTGAATCAGAACCACCAGTTAATAAGATCCCCAGGAGGGTCTTCTGTGCAAGCCCCCCGCGTGGGTTTGATGTACACTTGGAGATGCTGTCTTACTATATCTGGGGTACACTGCAAACGCTCAGCAGGGAGGGCACCCACAAATGCAATGCAAATGCTCAAAGGGATTTGAATGAAGGCATTCGAAGCCATGTGATAGGGTGATGATAGTATTTCAGGCATCCATCAAAAATGGAGGTTTTCTTTTTTGTTTGTTTTTAAAACAAGTTTATTGACACTTCATCCACATATCATATAATTCAATTGTTCAATCATATCAAGAAGTGTTGTACAATCATTACCACAATCACTTTTAGAACATTTTCTTCTTCCTTGTACCCATTGTTATTCATGTATTATTTTTCTTTTTTCCCAATTATTTTTTTAATTGTGGCAAAAATATACACAACAATACATTCTCCAACTCAACATCTTCTACAAGTATAAATCAGTACCATTGATGATCCTCTTCATGTTGTACAGCCATTATTGATATCTTTTTCCTAATTATTCAACCACCAAAAACGGAGGTTTTCCTAATGGCCCTGGAAGCCATCACTGGGAGTAGGGACAGACACAAATCAGAAGGAAAGGCATGTCTCACATTGGCTACCAAACTCTGCCCTGTCCATCAGTGACATCTTGCATGTGGTTGGGCTGATTCTTTCTCCTGACACCAGATGGGGCAGGACCAACGGCGACACCTTGAGAAATGTCTGTTGGTACCCAGAGCCACACTCGTCCTCCCCCCACACCCCTGCCACCTGGGAACAGAGCAGGTTCCACCCAGAGCAGCCCCCAGGCCTGTGTCCCTGCTTCTGGGTGGGGGGTGTCAGCTCAGGCAGGAGGCCACACCCTCGGGGTGTCTGACATTGCCCTCGTGTCCTTTCTCTCCTCCCTCCCGGAGGACAGACTCACAACACCCAATTAGTTATTCCTGCTGCCAGGTGAGCCACTCCATCCACCTTGGCCTCCCCTGCTGCCAAAGGGAAGGGCACTGCCCACTGGCTTGCTTGAAATTCCGCATTCCCCACACAGACCTGTGGACTCGGCTGTTGAGTGAGGCTGGAGCTCAGGGGATATAATATCACCAAGCACCAGGCATGCTGGACCAGGCCTTCCTTTCCGCCCCACCTCCTCCCCCCTCCTCCACACCCTGCCTTCTTCCCTCTCACCAGGGGCTGTGTGTTGACACGGGTGGCTGCCTGCAGAGCCAACTCCACAATCAAGAGAGGGAGCAACCCATCACCCCAAGGGCTTCCTTTGTGGGTCCCTTCCGCCCTCTCCTTTCCGACACCCCATCCCAGCCCCAAGCTTGCCATCTCTACCCATGACTGCGCATTTTCTAGAGTTTCATATAAATACATAGTATGCATTTTTCCTCTGGCTTCTTTCGCTCAGCCTAAGTATTTTGCGGTCCATCCACGTTGCTGTGTGACTCACTCCTTTTTCCTGCCGAGTGGCCTCCCTGTCATAGGCACACCCCCTGCTAATGATGCTTTGGCTTCTTTCCAGTTTGGGCAACGATAAATGAAGCTGCTAGGAATGCACATTCCTCCTTATGGATGCGGGCCTTCTTCATTTCTGGGGCACAGGGCCATTAGGCAGCTGTACTGGTAGCTATTGAAAAGCTGCCAAATTGCTTTTCACAGTGGTCGCACCATTTTACATTCCCGCCAGCAACCAGAGGCTCCACCTTCTCGCCAACACTTGGTATGATGAGCCTTTTAAACATCTCAGCCACTCTAATGGCTTCGCAGCAGCATTGGATTGTAGTTTCCATTGACGTTTCCCTATGACTCATGAGGTTGAGCAGTTTCGCATGTGCCATCCACCTATCTTTGTCAGTGAAATGTCTGTTCAGTCTGTCTTCCCACTGGATTTTCAACACTCGATGTGTTAGAACAGTTTTAGATTTACAGAAAAACTGCCTACCTCCCCCACCCCGCCCCCCTACTAGACTGTCAGCGCCAAGAAGTAAGGACCCATCGTGCTTGCTCACATTTCCCTCTGCGTCACAGTGACCAGTACACGCATAGAGGCTCAGTAACCATCTGTTAAGTAGGTGAGTTGATATGAGGGTGAGTCAAAAAGTATCGCTACTGGGGTTCCAGATCTTACCTGCACAGGTTTATTCCAAACTAAACATGTCCCTGCACTCAGTGGGTGGCCAAGGACACGTCTGATCAGTAATGCACTTGTCTAGGTCTCCTTAGGGTGCCTTCAGAAGCGTTCTTACCGAAAGAGCCACTACGGAGGGGCATCTGCGAGGCTGCCTCAATTAAGGCAGGCAGATCAGGTCAGAAGGTTATAGCAACTATTTCATGGGCTTCTAAAGGGGTCAGTCCTCTTGATAGATTTTCTCAAAGGAAACAGGATAATCACAGGGCTTCTTAGGAAGAAATTTTTAGAACCTTGAAACTGCATTGGTGAGAAGAAATGGCCAAGAACGTTGTGCTGAAAGATTGCTTCCTATGACAGCAATGCACCTGTTCATTCGGCAAAGGTAGTGAGGGCTGTCCAAGACAATTTTATTGGGAGACCTGGCCCCATCCGCTCTACAGCCTTGATCTTACCCCTTCTTGTTGTCCCCCAGTTCAAAGAAGATTTAAAGGGAACATACTCTGAGTCCCTCAGGGATGTCCAAACCACGCCCTCCCATGTTCCAAATAGGAGAACACAAAACTCCTCAGGGAAGGGTTGCTCAAAACCCGCTGCCATCAGATCCATTCTAACTCACAGTGGCCCGATGGGACGATGTAGAATGGCCCCAACTCTGTATGGGAGTAGAGAGCCTCATCTCTCTCTGTCAGAGCGGCTGGTGGTTTTGAACTGCTGACCTTGTGATTAGCAGCCCAACTTGCAGCCCACTAGGCTAGGGAAGAGTTAGAGAGAAGTACTGGCTCTAGCAATGTGCAGACCCAGAGGGAGGACAGGTGAACAGACAGTTGATTCACATTTTGATATTTGAGTTAATAATCTATCATTTCAATTACTTTGTAGCAAAATTATTTTACTCCTGTATCACGATCCAATCCTCCATGTAAATTCAAGTACATTCAGATGTAAATTCAAGGTGAACACCACCAATCCTGCTTGTGAAAATCACCTGGGAAAGTATTTCTTTTTTCAGTTCTAGAACATATTCTTCATTCTTACTTCCATTGTCATTAACTCCCATTTTCCCCAGCCTCCCCTGACACACCCCAAGGAACCATTAATCCCATTACCATCTCTATAGATTTACCTACCTGGATTTCATATCCAGGAAAACATTAAAAAAAAACTAACAACAATAACCAAGTAAAACAGATTTTTTAAAAACTCAATAGAAAAGCAGAAAATATTCAAAACTAGAACAGATGTAAATGGACCTAGAAAAGCCTTTCTTGCGAGCACCGTGCTGATGCTGGGGTTAGCAGCATTCTTTATAACCCCTGCTCTATCTTTCCTAGATGCTGCGTACATTAATTCACCCTCCAAGAGAGTAATTTTCCCCCGGGTAGAGGTCTACTGCCAGATAGAACGCGCCCTTGGCAATGAATGCCCTGAACAGCCACGCCTCCAAACCCAGCAGCCCGGCCTGGAAGAAGACACGCCCCTTCACTCACCGAGGGATCCCAAAGGCGGGCATGGCAACGGGGCCCATAGCTCACAGACTCCTGAATCCACACGGGAGTCACCAGCTTCTCCGCCTGTCCCTCCATGTGAGCAGTCCCCTGCATCACCACTGGCACCTTCTTCACCTTCTCCAACCGACTTGCCACCTGCCTCCCCCATCCTGCCTGGATCTCCCGCCTCTGTTCAGTTACCACCGAACTTGACGTCCGACTCACCGGAGCAGCCGCTGACACCGCCTGAGTGCTCACCTGTGTTCCCACAGGAGCACGCACAGCCATTTGGATCACCACGCAGACCTTCATCTTCCCGGCCACCTTCATCACCCAAGCCACCCCTGGGGCCTGCAACTGTGGGAGCAGTGCAGACATCGCCCCCGTGTTCTCCCTCGGCAGCACCTGCACAGCCGCCTGTAGAGGAACCGGAGCCAGAGGAGCCCCCAGGTATGGACCAGTGTGCCTTCTCGTGGGTCTCAGATGTGTAACATCGCATGGCCGGCAGCCATGCCTTCGGAGGCTAGCAAAGTTTGCTCTGGCCACTTGGCCTGTTCTGAGGACAGGCTGCCACCAGGAGACAGTAGTTGACGTCTGTTCATTCCCGAGGCCCCCCTCGCCCCTCCCGAGCCCTGGTGGCTCGTGGGTTACTCAATGGACTGCTAACTGTAAGGTCAGAAGTTCAAAACCACCAGCTGCACCCGGGGAGAAAGAAGAGGGTTTTTACTCCTGTAAAGTGCTCAGTCTCAGAAACCCTCAAAGACAGTTCCACCCTGTCCTACAGGGTCAGTATGAGTCAGAATCGACTCCGTGGCAGTGAGATTGGTGTTGGGGTTAGTCCCAGAACAAACCCACAGACCCACTGCCATCGAGTTGATTGGGACACATAGCAACTATACAGCAGCGGTTCTCAACCTGTGGGTCACGACCCCTTTGGGGGTCGAATGACCCTTTCACAGGGTCACCCGATTCATAACAGTAGCAAAATGACAGTGATGAAGTAGCAAGGAAACTCATTTTATGGTTGGGGGGGTCACCACAATGAAGAACTGTCATGGTCACCACAATAAAGGGTCATGGCCTTAGGAAGGTTGAGAACCCCTAACATAGAGGTTCCTAAACCCAAACCAAACTCACTGGGCAATCCTAGGCCCTGCGTTGGTGGTCCTCGTTCCTGTCTACTTTCCCAGAGGGAGCCCATAGCTCAGGGGCTCTCAACAGGGTCCCACTCCCCCGCCCCCCGGGAAACCTATGGCAATGCCTGAAAATGGTCTTGGTTGTCCCATAGATCAGACTAGCACATAGCTAACTGTGTACTACTGGCACCTAGTGGGCAGCACTTGCAGCAGCCACCTGGGAACGTGTTGGAAATGAAAATCCTTGAGCCCCACCACAGACTCATTGAGTGAGACTCTCTGCTGGGTAGGGGTCCTGCTAGACACCCCACAATGCACAGAACAGCCTGACAGCAAAACATGATCTGGCCCTTACTGTCCACAGGGCTGAGGTTAATAAAGCCTATTGTGACCTCCAGCTGAACCTCAGCAATGACACTTCAGAACCGCTGCAGGGCTTTGGAAGGAGCCCTGGTGGCATAGTGATTACTCAACGGGGCTGCAATATCTGCAAGGTCAGCAGTTCGAAACCACCAGCTGCTCTGAGAGAAAAATGGGGCTTTCTACTTCCGTAAAGGGTTACAGTCTCAGAAACGCAAAGGGGGCAGTTCTGCAGTTTTATCTTGTTCTATAGGGTCGCGACGAGTCGGCATCGCCTCGATGGCCGTGAGTTTGGTGGGGCTTTGGTAGAGCCAAGCCTCTCCGGGGTTTGTTCTCATTAGTCATTTAGGGATGACCTTGAAGGTGGTGGAGGAAGGGCAAAAAATCCTAGGAAATATTCCCATGCTCACTGAAGACCTGCAGAGAGTATTGGAGGACAATGGACCTGGATCTATTAATAGTCCCAATTCCAAATAAAAACAGCACCTAAGCGCAGGTGCTGCAAGGTCCAGTTTCCATTGCCCTGCATGCTGCCCCTAACATGACTTACTTGTATGGGAATTGGTATCGTGTTATAGCCAGGGTCAGGCTCGGTTCGCCCCCAGATGCTGCTGCCCTGAGTCTCCATCAAACCCGAAAACCTGACAAAAGAACAGGAAGGTTATCTACTGTTGTCCAATGCTCTCATCTCAGTGCGCATGTGCTCCTCCTCAGTCCAGTCTCACTCATCAATCCTGTACTTGTACTTCTGGCTATAGCTCCCCTTGCTGCCTCTGATCCCCGAAGCGCCAAGCCTCCGGTTCAGGTGAAGGAGACCACCTGCAAGCCTTGTGTGACGTAAGTGTCTTCTTCAGAAAGTGCTTCACAGTCCGTGCCTGTGGTCAGGGTGGCCGGGATGTCCAGCGTAGTGGTATTTCCCATCTCTTTTGCTGCCCCCGGGAACAATGGGATCACATTCGAGTTTGTGTGGTGACAGTCCACCCCTTTACATTTCACCCACCACACCAGCCCCTCCTCCCTCCTCCTTCCATGAGGGAAATGCGTGGCCAAAGAGCCTATTCCTGTCAGCAGTGTCGTTCTGTTCCAATCCCTTCTTTCACACCGAGGGATGCTGCTGCTTTAAGCTCCTGGGAGAATGTGCCCCCTCTCTTTGTCCCCACCCCCCTCATAGTTTACTCTCCACTCAAGAGAATTTTCAGGCAGTCCACATCCTAGCCTTCGGTAGCCTCTCTGCAGTACGGAGCCAAAACGTTTGTGGAAGTTTTCCATGGTCTTTTTCTTTTTTAAACAGTTTTATTGACACATGATTCACATATCCTACAACCCAGTAGTTTAATCGCATTAAAAAGAACCATGCAGTCATCATCACAATCCATTTTAGTCCACCTTCCTTTCATTCCGTTTTTTCACAGTCATTTGGAAGCCCCTGGTATGGAGTGAAGGGCTCCCTTAAAACAAAGCAGAAACAAACAACAGACCAAAGACCTGCTGCTGCTGCCCTGACCAGGCCCACGGTGATGCCACACATGCAGAGTACACCGGCCCTCCACAGGGCTTGAAGGCTGGCACTTTTCAAATTGCCTGGCCTTGCTTCCAATGAACGGGCATCGGGGTGGGCTCAACCCACCAAACTTCCACTTAGTCGTGGAGTGCTTAGCTCTGTGTGGCACCGAGGGACGAGGTGCTCTCCGAGGTTTCCCTTAGTTCCAATGATTTTCTACCAGCACAATAAACAAAACCAACAACCACTCCCATGGCTCAGGAATCCAAGACGATTCATAGCAGCCCCTACAGGACAGAGCAGAGCATCGCAGCTCCTTAGGGGTCCCCAGGTATCATCTTCATGGAAGCAAACCACCATAACCCTCTCCCATGGCACGGCAGATGGGTGCAAGCTGCCTCTCTTTGCGTGTCACCACCAGGGCTTCTTCCAGCAGGAGGAAAGCATCCCATATTCCCAGGTCAGCGCTCGTGCCCGGAATGTGCCTCTTTCTTACCATGCACATCCCAATGTCTGTCCCTACACAAGCACCCTGCTGCAGCGTACCCTGCTTCACTGCACTTCACACAGGCCACGTGTCTGTTTGGGTTTCACCAATGGAGGGTTTGTGGGAACTCCGCATGAAGCAAGTCTACCGACATCATTTTCCCAGGAGGAAGAGTTCATCTGGCGGCTCTGTGTCACATTTGGTCCCTCTCACAAGAATGTAGTCATTTTCTCATTTTCCTGATGCAATCGACTAAGACCAGAAGCCACTGGTGCTGAGTGGATTCTGACTCATAACGGCCCTATAAAACAGAGCAGAGGTGCTCCCTAGGGTGCTCCAAGGCGGTACATCTTTGTAAGAGCAGATGACCTCTTCTTCCTGCCTTGCTGGGTTTGAACCACTGGCCTTTTGGCTAGCATCCAATGCTTAACCCACTGACTTACCAGGATTCCTCAACAGCCACTGCCATCCAGGTAATTCTGACACATAGCCACCCCGCTCAGCAGGGTGGGACTGCTCCTGTGGGCTTCTGAGACTGTAGCGCTCTCTCTCTCTCTTGTAAACAGTTTTATTGGCATATAATTTACATGCCATACAATTTAATAGTTCAATCATTCAACCATATCAAGGAGAATTATGCAATCATTATCATGTCCATTATAGAATACCCCCCCCCCCGCTTCCCCCATGGTTAAATTGCCTTTAAAATGAGTTGTGCAGTCAGTTCTACTGCTCCCTCCCCACTGACTGTAACTCTTTATGGGAGTAGAAAACTTCATCTTTCTCCCTCGGAGCCACTGGTGGCTTCAAACTGCTGACCTTGTGGTTAGCAGCCTGCGACTGCAGTACAGTATAAACATGACTTTTATATGCACTGGGAAACATACAAACAAACAAACAAAATGCATGGACTCCCTGTCGCCGTCGCCTGGAACTGAACTTGGCAATATCTCAGAAGTATACCCGTAATTGCAAAGGCGCTGGAGATCTGAACGGGGACTGCGTTCCCAGGCTCCCTTGCTGTCGGGATACTTGTAGGGCCCTCAATGGACGCACCAGCAGGAGACCCGAGGATTAGAGAAGAAGACACTTGGGTTGTCTCCCCTCCAGTCCTGTCCTGCCAGCCTGGGGTGGTTTGGGCTGTGGCCGCTGTCCCCGAGGTCATAGTTCAGGTGTCAAGAGAACAAGGCCTGGCTTATTTCCCCTCTTCATGTTTTCACTTCCTGTCCCATCTCACATATAGTAAGATATACCTATTCCCCACATTAATATGAATTTCACTATACAACTTTTTGAAAAGATTTATATGAACTTAATTATGTTGAGCTTAGACATACACTATTCATTTGTTCACATAATTTAAATTGTATTGCATTTACATATTACGGTATAAAGGTCTAGAAGGAGCCTAGGTGTGTAGTGGTTACACCACGTTGGTCTGCAAACTGCAAAGTCAGCGGTTCAAAACCATCATCCTCTCCATGGGAGAAAGACAGGGCTTTGTACTCCCATAAAGAGTTAGTCTTGGAAACTCACAGAGGCAGTCCTGTCCTATCTGATAGAATCACTGAGTTGGCATTGACTGGATGGCAGTGAGTCTTGTGGTTTGGTATTAAGGTCTAGGAACTCTGGTGGCATAGTGGACCACATTATTGAGTGGCTAACCACAAGGTCAGAGGTTCAAACCTACCAACTGTTCCCTGGAAGAAAGATGAGGCTATCTACTCCTATAAAAATTTGAAGTCTCACAAACCCAAAAGGACAGTTCTACTCTGTCCACATGGTCACTGCGAGTTGGAACTGGATTAATGGCAGTGAGTTGAATATAATGGCCTCAGTGTTGACTGATTCATTGGCCTGATGTTACCTAGATAAATATTCATGGATTGCAAAAACAGAGTTCCCTGGGGCACCGTGCCAACCAGCCAGGGTCAAGCACCCCTAAAACCCATTGCCATCAAGTTGGTGCTGACTCATAGTGACGTTATAGGACAGGGTTTCTGAGACTGTAATTCTTTAAGGAAGTTGAAAGCCCTGTTGTCCTCCCACAGAGTGGCCAGTGGTTTGGAACTGCTGACCTTGCCATTAGCAGCCCCACGCATAACCACTACCCCACCCGGGCTCCTGTTGAGCACCACAGCACTTCATAGCTGCCTTCTGAGCTGGAGTAGGGCTCGGGTGTCAGAGGACACAGTGCCTGTGGGGCTGCTAGGCTGAGTGTCACCCTCTCCCATGGACCTTCTCCCATGCCAGGCCACCACAGGGAACCCTTAGGAATGTTTACTAGCAATTTTAACCCTACACCAGTATGCACCAAATGTCATTGCAAATGGCTCACATGTAATGTTTCCTAGCTTATATGAACACCAACACCAAAATGAGTTTTGTAAGCTCATTATTCTTTCATGACTAGTTATAGCATCCTTACTGGCTGAGCTGAAACCTTTACAATGGTTTCTCCTTCTTTTCCTTTAATTACTACTTATGCCCATGGAAGTTATTGGTACAGGTCCACAAATACCACTTGCCACAATTTTGGAACTAAAGCACCAGACCCTTTGACACCGTCCACCAGCAGCAACAGAACCACTCGGAGTGCTTGTAACACTGTGCAAACAAAGGAGCTACGGGATTTGAAGGTCACTGGAAATGGGTTACAATGGGCGCTCTGGCCAGAGCACGCTAGAAGGTTCAAAATGTAATGAGCATCGAGTTGCATCCTTGTAGGCATATTGCTAGACGTAAGCTGGGCTTATGAAAAAATGTTTCTGGGAACACGGCACAACCATCCTACACACAATCGTGTTAGTGTCACTCGGGGTGGTCCACGCCCTTTGTCCCCCCAGTGATGTCCAAGTAAACCTCCATTTCTTCTCCTTTCCCAGGGAGAGCCCTGTGGAAGACTCGAACTGGATGAGCAAGGTTTTCAAGAAGAACAAACCCAAGACAAGCGGCTGCAGGAAAGGCTTCCCACGACATCCACGATCCAAAAAGCTCAGCGGCCGAGCCCAGTCAGTATGGCTAGTGTTTCTTCTATTCCACAGAGGATTTGAGGAGAGGGGGAGTCAGTGTGGGGTGGGGGTCAGGACATGGACTTTGGGATCAGAGCCGCCTGGCATAAGGCCTTGCATTGCCACCTTCTGGCTCAGAGATCATCGTTAGGACCCGTGGTTTCTCTGAGCCTCCATTCCCTGACCTGCAAAATGGAGATGATACAACTCACATGGTTCTTGTGAGCCTAAAAGGAAAGCAACTCTGTGAGTTGCTTAGCAGAGGACAGAATGTACTACAACAACAACAACAAAAACCCCAAACTCTCAGCCATCGATCGAGCCGATGCTGACTCATAACAACCCTGTTGGACAGGTTAGAACTGCCCCTGTGGGTTTCCAAGTCTGTAATTCTTTACAGGAGTAGGAAAGCCTCGTCTTTCTTCCTCGGAGCAGCTGGTGGTTTTGAACTGCTGACCTTATGGTTAGAAGCCCAGTGACACCACCAGGACTCCAGGATGTATAATAAGCCCTCAACAATTAGTAGGTGCTGAGGTTCTATAAGGCCCAGACGCTAACTAGCTACCTCTAAACTTCTGAACAGAAATAATCTTGAAAATCGAAATAGACAGTTGGTTTACAACACGACCCTCAACAGGCTAGAACTCCAAAGGGATGTCAGCAAGCAATGAATAGCCCTAATCGATATAGGCCTCCTTCAAGGACTATCTCATACAGTCTGTGATTTAATCAGTTACTGTTTATTGAGCACCTATTAGATGCTGCCTACTGGGCTCTGGGGATAACTATACTTGATCCTCAATTTTCAAGTTTTCCCAAACGGAACGTTAGATCAAACACAAGAATAAGCATGCTAATTTGAAAATCTTTGAACTCCACCGAAGCCAAACCTATACTGAAATGGAACATTGTTATCCAAGGTGCATGCACACACTCCCAAACTCAAAAAGCCTGCCTCAAAAACCATCAAGATAGGCAGCCTTGAGCTTCAGCATAAAGCACTGTGTTTTGTTCCCATGATTTAAACTCAAAGGCAACCACGCCTTATTGAAGGAGAGTTTAATTGTGTTTCAAGGGAGACAGTGAAACAAGTGTGCTATTTATTGCACCGATGACCGCAGTGGTCTCTGAATGGGACAGATCCCAGCTGCCCATGGCCTTCAAGCCTGTACTGGTCACAAAGATCCCCAAAGCATTCTGGGAAACCTTCCTGGTTGTTCCTGTCCCAGCTGGGGTCCCGGTAGTTTGAAAGATAATGGTCGGAAGATCTCTCTGAGTGTTAGACTGGGTTGACTAGAGAAACAAACCCAGGGACACTCATGTGTGTATAAGAAAGAGTTTGATATCAAAGAGGAATGGTATCTTAAGAAAACATCCCAGCCCAGTCCAGATCAAGTCCATAAGTCCAACACTAGTCCATAAATCCCTCTTCAGACTCATGTAGGTTAGCCACATGCAATGATGCAGAATGCAGGAAGATCACAGGCTAGTGGGTACAGCTCTGGCTCAAAATGGCTCATCAACAGGAAGGTGGAGTGAAGGTTAAAGAAAGAGAGAGAGAGACCCACCCCCTCCAGCAAATCATTTATCTCAGTCGCCCTCCAATCAAGTTGCAACCTGATTGACAGGCTAAATTCCACCTACATGTTCCTACGGAAGCACAAAAAAACCTAACTATAACACTCTGGTAGCCAAAGGTGCCTGGGCATGCAGGTCCTTGGTGGATGGTGGGGAGGGGACTGTCAGAGCAGCTATCATTTGTCAAGAGTGCAGTCGGGGATGGGATCTGTAGTCAGGAACATCTTCTTCTGTCCTCTAGTCTCCAGCCCTAGGAGTTTCCCTCATCTATCTCTACATCCTATTGCTGGGCGCTCAGGGACACATCCATGCCTGGAAACGCGACAGGTCTCCCATGGATAGGGGTCTTGAGGATTTTCTGAGGGCCAGGGATAGATGATGGTTTAGTTCATGGAATCCCTACTGGTGAACTCTTAAATCGGGTCCTGGTTTTGGCTACTATCACCATTGCTATAGGGTCACTATGAGTGGGCATCGACTCGATAGCAGTGGGTGTGGATGATGGCCATGTCCAGGACAAGCCTCCCCCTGGACACAGCCCCGTGGATGGCACAGAGCTAGGACACAGCCCCGTCAATGCTCACAGCCACAGTTGCAAGGCTGGAGGGAGGCAGAGAACTGCAGTGCACTTGGCCAAGGGGCCCCAGGCTGTGGTCCAGCTGGCTGGATGCTGTGCTAACAAGGTTTGGCTTCACCTGTGGCCCTGGAGTATCATCACAGAGCTTCAGCCCAGAACGATGTGGTCAGAGTTGAAGATTATGGGCCATTTAAGCCGATGCAGGTCCACATTCCAGCAGTTCTCTGAGGGGGGGATTCTACTCTGGAAGTCTCCTCTTGCACAGAGGGGGCAAGGGGCTTGCTCAAGGCCACACAGCAAGTAGAGACAGAGCTTAGAGCCAGGTTGTCTGAGTCTACCACCACCCCCCGCCCCCATCTCTTTTCTCTTCACACATGTTTCTTTAACGTCTCTTGTCCAGGTCCGGTCCCTGCCCACTTGACTCCCCTCAGCTCTCTGCTCCCGAGAGAGTGTGGGTTACTTACAGGGCTCATCCCAACCTGATTCAGGAGTACAGCCACCCTGAGGTATGGAATGCCCCCGGGGTCCCCAGCTTGCCCTGGGGAGTTGTGCTGGCCTCTGGATCTTATTGACCCAGCCTCCTTTCTGCCCTCACCTGCCTTCCCCTTCCCCGGTCACTCTCAAGGGCAGCATGAGCCTTGTGCCTTATGCTGCTGTGCAAACAGCACCCCTTCCTTGAGAACTTGACTGCCAGCTGTTGGAAAATGGCATCATCATGCCCAACACTTTAATCTTCTGATTTTGTTTGAATCAGACTCTTGGAGCACCAAGCTGCAGTGTCTGTGAGCGTCTGCCCTTTATAGGGCACCGGGTCTGTGTGACCACCCTCAATGCTTTGGAGACCGTTCCACGCTCCGCCCTTGGATAAAACCCAAGTGTTAGCAGAATGTTTATAACCTGAATGACGCTGCAAATGCTCCCGCTTTAAACCATCACCTCCCAGAGGAGAGCTCCATTTGCAGCGTAGGATCAAAACGAACCCCCCCTCCCCACCAACAGGCTTTTGCTGGACACGGGGTTTCTTCTTCCCAATGCGTCAGGCTGGCTGCAATGGGGCCTGACCACTGGCTGGGAGCTCCTCGGGGTCATGAAGCTGGGAGGGATGTCCTTCATGCAGGAGGGGAGGGAAGCCTGCCTGCCTGACTCGGGAATGATGGAGCCATGTCCTTTGCCTAGGAATCTGTGAGCCGAGAGAGAAAACCTGGCCTGGAACGAGAGAGAAGCTGAGACCCGCTCCCTGCTGCTCTCAGATGCCTTCCTTGGGCTCTAGGCCTTTTGGGGACCAGGGGCAATGGCCACTACCAGTCCTGCACATGAAAAGGCTCGCTTTCCCCTGAGGAGAGCCACCTCATCCAAACGGCCGCTCTGCTACTCTGCGGCCCTTTTGGACTTCCCACCACCCGCTCTGGAGGGCCGTCATCATGCCTTGCTGATTGCAGCCCACAGCCTCTTCTCAGCTGGCTGGCTCCCTCCCAATCCCACCTGACGGAGCTCACAGCTTCCACATGGGCCGGGTCACTCCTAGCGTATCCGTTTCACAGCGCAGAGTTCTTGGGGGCCAGCAGGAGTGAACCATAGAGGAACGTCTTGTTTCCTGCGGTGTGACCTCCGCATTTCCAGCCTTGCAGAGACAAAGCTGTCCTTGTTTTATTCTTGTGTTCCGTGCTCAGGGCACACGAAAGCTGGGCTTGGACCCTCCGGGGCAATTCCTGCCCCACCTCAGCCGCTCCCTGGAGGCTGCCACGCTGCCTGAGCATGGGGGTCTTGAAGTCCTCGGGGGCATCTGTCACCTGGTCAGCCAAGGCTGGCACCAACTGCCGTGGAGTCCCTGGGTAGTGTGACCAGCGAACACATTTGAATCCACCCAGAGGCACCTCGAAAAGAAAGGCCTGGTTGATCTCCTTCGGAAAACACCAGCGTTGAAACCCCCCCAGAGCACAGTTCTTCCCTGACACACATGGTGGAAGGGTCTTAAGGGTGACTGGTTCAGGGGTGTGGTTGTAGGGGAGATAGGCCTATCGCCTGCCCGTCCTCCCAGCTGTTCACACCTCCATGAAGGTGGTCGATCAGGACACTTTCTATTTTCCAGCCAGCCCAGGAAAAGGAAAAGGAAAAGGAAAGAAGGAGGAAAGAAAAGAAAACGAATGTCCCTGCTTCCTGTGGGGTGCAAATAGTTAAATTCTCGGCTACTAATCCTAAGGTTGGCTGTTCAAATCCATCCAGAGGTGGCTCAGAAGGAAGGCCTGGAGATGTGCTTCTGAAAAACCGCCACTGAAAAGCCCGGTGGGCACCGTTCTCCTCTGCACACCTGGGTCTAACACGAGTCCAATTGACTTGATTGCAGACTAGTCTCCGGGCTTATTTATTTGTTTCATGTTCCTGAGAGAACAGGCAACCTCCAGCTTCGGGAAGTCAGCAAGGAAGCCCAGGGGTGCTCACAGGCCTCAGGTGCATTTGTTTAACAAATTCTGGAATGCAAAACCCGGTGCAAAGCAGGGCGCCCTAGCGCAAAGTTAGGGCACTTGCAACGGAAGCCCAGGTGGAGGGGGAAGGAGGTCCCTTTTGAAGGCTTGCATGGAAAACCCTAACGATGCCTTTGAGAGGCCCGAGATGCGACATCCCAGGTGTGCTGGCATCTGGTGGGCCGGAGCAGTAGAGAAACGCCCTGGAGGTTTGTGCAATGCAAGAGACCTAGGGACCCTGGAGTCACCCAGCTGGCGGCGGTGTCCAGGCCGTTCTCCAGGGGGCGCTGTGCTATTCGCATGCGGCTCCTCCCGGGGCTCAGAGACCAGGTGAGCAGGCAGGGTTCCCCGCCACAGCTCGGGAATGCTTTCCCACCGGAGAGGCCAGCTTAGAACAACGACTGTGCTCACAGAGCCTGGCTTTAGATCCCAGATGCGCTTCATGTCAATTTTACTGCAGCGTCAGTCGATCCCCCAGCGCTCCTGGCTTCACTTTGTTTATCTCCTTTCCCTCATTTTAAGGTAATTAAGAAAACCGTTCTTGTGTTAGTTTCAGAGGTTGCCAGGTAAATTACAAGATGCCTTGTTCAATATGAGCCCCAGATAAACAATGACTATTTAGGATCTGACCCTAATGTGGCAATTATTTGTTGTTGATCGGAAATTCACACTTAATTGGACCTTCCCGTACATCTGTTTGCTGACTCTGGCAGCCCTCATTAGCTAGCTCCTTCTCCTGCTATTTTTTTAATGCTGTTTATTAAGTACATTAATTTTTTTTTTGCATGCCACCGTCACCATGTTTTGAATTGAGATGTGACTGGCGCTGAGGCGAGGCCGAGGAGGCTGGGCACTCGCTTGTCGTCCGCACAGACATCTCTGGATGTCGGCAGTGCAGCCAGGGCTCGGCTGCTATGGAAAAGGTTGGAGGTTCCAGTCCACCCAGAGTCTCCTCAGAAGAAAGGCCTGGTGGTGTACTTGTGAAAACTATGGCATGCAGTTCTACCCTGACACACGAGAGGGCGCCATGAGCCAGAGTCAACTGATGGCAAGCTCCCAGGCAGCCATCTGACTTGTTCCAGCTGCCCCACCTCCCCACTCGGCCTCCTCAGAGTGAGGAAACCAGGCTCCTGATGCTACCATGCCCCTCACGCGTCAGGGTATCACTTCATTCCGAGGGGTTTTCAATGGCTGGTTTTCTCAGAGGCAGTTTGCCAGGCCTTTCTTCCTGGTGCACAGGTCCACCTCAGGGTTTTGAAGCCCTCCCATGCTCAGCCCTGTTTTTTTCGTAAAAGCTTCCCTGGCAAGAGTTGAGGGAGGTCCACCCACAAGATGGGTGGTGGGGACAAGCTACCAGAAGTTGGTGGGGGACCAGACAGGATCTTCCCAGAGAGCCTTCAGGGAGCAGGGGTCCCCGCCGATGCCCAGGATGAGGACTTCCAGCCTCCAGAACTGAGGCAATAAAGTGCTGTCCTTGAAATCTGCCCACGCCTTGGTTCTTTGTTAGGGCCGCCCCGGAAAACCGCCCCCTAAGGACGGACAGCCCCGATGGATGGCACATCTGGAAGGGACCCCAGGCAGGCACAGGGATACTGACTGTACAGCCCTGCAGGCGTAAGCCTGTCACCTAGGTGTCAGGGGCTCCCTTCCTGCCCCACCCCCATGAATAAGCCAAATCAGACCTTGGTGCAAATCTGTTGCTTTATTTGTGCAATAATTGGGTATAAAAATGAGCCTGCGGTGCCAGCACCGGGAACTCAATACTCAGTGTAAAGCACGCCATTCTGGCTACGGACCTGTACAAAAGATCCCTGACCATTTCAACACTTACTCCAATCCTCGGACGCCTCCTGTAAGACACCCATCAATAGCTCCTTTGTCCCCCACGCCCTGAGCAGCCACTGTTCTCTTTGTGACTTCCAGACCACTTGAGTTGAGCTTCTCCAAACCCTTTCTTATCAGAAGCTGAGGACAGTCCTGTCACACCCATGGCCTCTCTGCCCTGAGCTGCTTCCCTTCCCTGGACCCACCCTAAGGTGCTCATCACCGCAATTTCCACCCAAGGGTGACAAGACCAAGGAGGCCCTCTGGGTTTTAGCACCTTTGCCCCTTCAGCCACGCGTTCCAGGAAATGTCCAAGGGAGTCGGATGTCTGTCTGCTGCCCTGCTAAGCCTGTCTGGAGACTTGGAGGCGTGGCAAAGTGCCTGGCTTGGCAGTGAATTGTCCCATCTGAGCCAGGCCGTCAGAAACATCCATCTGTGCCAAGACAGAGCCTCTCCCAGCCCACAGCTCACCTTTCTGCAAATATACAAAGGAGGCCCTTCCCCCAGGCCCTACTGTGCTGTTGGTTGGAAAACTGCCGCCAGAAATCCACGAATCCACAGTGCTTGGCGCTTGAGCAGCACCTGCGCGTGCAAGGTGCTTTGAGGCAGTGCACCCAGGTGCCACCATCCTCGGAGGTCCCGCTTGAACCCCTCTCCTGTTCCCCGAAAGCTACCCTGACTGTAGTGACAATAGGAAAAATAACCTGCAAAGGGGTGCAGGGGATGTTTGTGGAAGATTAGAATTAAAGGACAACGGAGATTTTCCACGAACTTTCTGAAGCTCCCTCATACACGGAAGAGCCCTCGTGGTTCAGTGGCTGCTAACCGCAAGTTCAGCAGTTCGAGCCCACTGGTCACTCCACGGGAAAAAAAAGGAAGCTTTCTGCTCCCTTTAAGATTGACAGCCTCGGAAAACCAGTGTCCGAGGAAGCCACTGTGAGTCGGAAGCAACTCGATGGCAGTGGGTTTGTTTTCTGTTTAATGCCAAACTCTTTCACATCGATTTTCTCATTGGCTTCTAACAGGCTTTGGGAGCTGGGAGCGATGTGGACATCTGCTCCGGTTCTCTGGTTGACCTGGAGGACGTAGGGTTGAAGCAAGGATTCTACAAGACCATCTAGTCCAGAGACTACCACTCCTACCCACCCACCCCCACCCCACCCCGGGAGTCTGCAGAGTTCCTGGAAGGTAACTACACTTCCAAGTGTATGCTGTGTTCCACCCCCAGACACACATCTGTTTGCGTACATCCGTGTAGCTGCCTCTGGCCCAAGATGAAAATCCCGCTTCAACCAGAGCTCCATTTGAACATTCGGGCAGACTGTCAGCAGGCCTTCCGCGTGGCATGTTTTTAGCCCCTGTGGATTGAGAACGCACACAAGACTGAAGAGATGGCGTTTGTCACTCTTTTAAATGGAAGTGGACTAGCCCAGGACAGAAGTCAGCACTAGGATTGGCTCATAATGCAAGGGCCCTGGCTCCTGGCCTAGCGCTCATGAGCACTTGACAGTACCTGTCAAGGTAGCTCCTTCTCTCTCCTCTAGCCTCCTACTTAAGAGAGACAACCACTGATGTGCACAGTTCCAATTGAGGACCAAGGCCTCTCAGGGCATGCCTGGCAGATTCGCCTGGATCTCAAAAGCATCTCCCCCTGATGATTGATTGATTGATTCATTTATTTGATGAGGACTTAACCATAGGGTGAAGGCGCTCACTAGCCTCTTTAGGGAGACTGCCTTGTGTTGGAGCCATAAGAGCTCCGATGGGTCTAGTCCAGCCTGGAGTGCCAGGTCTGGGGGGACAGAGGTCACATGCAGTCTTGCGGCAATCCGATGGCAGATTTAGCAGGTGGCACCCTGGTCTCGACACTCCCAACACAGCTTCTGCGTCTGGCTTCTTGCAAGAATGCACCATGGTTTCTCAACCCCAAGAAATCCACAAAAGTGCAGGGACATAGAGTGTTCATCCCCGCTTGGCTTCCATCCCATCCAGGAAGCACTCGATTGGGGCATTGGAAAACATCTCCAGGGGCTCCTCTTGGCTAGCACTGCCAATTGATTGGCCAGTTCCGGGGAAGTGGGGCCCAGGGCACAGCTTTCAATCTGGGCTTTGGACATCAGGACTTGTGATGTTCTAGAAGGAGAAAAAAGACATCCCTTTTAGGCACAGCTAAATTATTGGTGAGTCTCTTAGAGCCAGAGCTTCACACACACACACACACACACACACACACACACACACACACACACACACACACACACACACACACACCTCCACTCTGGTACCAACCGACATCATCCCATCAGAGGTTGCCTCGGAGTCTTTGCACCTGTGGTCTCTCCTGGTCCTTTCTCCCCATCGGAAGCCTCTCCATCCTTCAAGGTCAAAATCAATGTCTGCCACCTCCCTGAAGCCTTCCAAGACCAACTTGCTTTGTTGGCCTTAGTTATCACTCATTTGGCATTTAATTGCTATTGGCTTCCACCCTCCTAAACATTTTGTCTTCCCCACTAGAGTAGGAGCCTTTCCAAGACAGGACCTTCCACGAGGCCTCACAGCACCAGCGTAAGTGCTCACAGAGGAGGCTCTGGGTTGCCCAAGGGCTGCATACATGAATGAGTGGACACTGAATGAATGAATGAATGAATGAATGAATGCATAGTAAAACCAGAAGATGGAGCTGGGACTAATGAAGATGTCAGGACAGATGTTTCTAGAATATCCTTCACAAAGCACTCCGGTCACTCCCTGGCTATTACCTAACCCAACCTCAAGCCAAGCTCTCTGCCATCGAGAGTCGATGCTGACTCACAGTGACATCCCCACCCCACCCCAGGACAGGGTAGAACTGTGCCTGTGGTTTCCGTAGCTCTTTTGGGGAGTAGAAAGTCTCATTTTTTCTCCCTCAGAGCTGCTGGTGGTTTCAAATTGCTGACCTTAGGGTTGCAGCCCAGCGCATAACCACTAAGCCATCAGGGCTCCCTAACCCGGCCTAGAGGCCTAGAGGGTGAGGCTGAGTCACCCATAACAGACCCATTCTGTAGATTCTACAGCGCAGAAGAAGATGCGGAAGCAGAGAAAAGAGCCGCCTGAGGTCATGTGACTCCCCACCAGGAACACAGCCAAAGGGAAGCCAAGCCCTGGAAGGAGGAGGAGCACCGACCAGAGTCCGACCAGCTTCCTCAAGAGACTCCTCAAGTGGCTTCTACAAAAGTGACCAGATTTTAACATTGGTAAAGTGGGACAACATTGATAAAGCTCATATCCTGGCGAAATAGCCACATGGCAGCCGAAAAGCAAATACCCTAGCTTGTAGTGCATTCTTTCAAAAAATCGGGGCTTTTTTAAAACGCCGCGGGACGCAGGAAAAATTGTTAAAAAGCGGGACTGTCCCACCAAAAGTGGGTCGTCTGGTCACTTTGTCCTACAAGCAATGCCAGGAGCAGAAGCCAGGAAGCGTTCCTGGGTGACGGCTCCCTCACCGTAGTACGTGTCTGATTTCCCAGGGGGAACACCTGCACATGGGCGCTCTGCCAGGTGTGGTCAGCACCCACCAGCCTCATTCCTTTAAAGCCTCACCTGCCTTCCCTCAGTGGCTCCTACACACTGATGGGAACCAAATGCCTGTTAGCGGCTTATCTTCAGTAAATTTGCAAAGGACCAAGACTCGGTTTTTCTGTCTGCCCGAAAGCATATGAAAACGCAAGACTTAAAAACAACAACAACAATCAGTGAGCAGAATTATGTCTAAAGAGAAAAAAATCTCCAGGCACAGGGAGATGATCAGGAAAAATGTAAACCAAGGAGAAGGGTGGGGGTAGGGGTGGCAGGGAGGGGCTCTTCTTCAATCAGCCAAGGGCAAGGGCAGTGAATGACCACAGCCTCAGGCAGCCCACAGCGCCTGCTCTCCCACCTCAACCAACCATAGTGGACCTGGAGCTTCTTCGTCGGGTACTTTTGAAGACAGTCTAGCATTGGAAAGCCCAGAGTCGGAATCCATGAACTAATCAGAGGGCAAACGAAGACGGAAGCCGATCCAGAATGCCCTGCTGATACCAGAAGGTACGCAGGCGCATCCTCCTTGAGAGAAGGTTGCCGCGGGACGACGGTGCTAATTCTGGAGGAAGGCCAGGGAGGGCCTGGGCACAAAGACTACAGTGGCTTTACACGATCTCAGAAGGCCTGAGTGAGGAGGTGGCCTGGGAGCCGGACCCTTCAAATTCTGGATAAAAAGGGGCGGGAAGGACAGTAAGGAGGTCCCACTTGAGCTGACCAGGAGCATGCTGTCAATTGTGACGCCACCCTGCCAGTGTCATCTCTGCCCTCTCTCACCTGCTGGGCCTCCTTATATGGAAACTGGGCGTACACATGGCGGCTGTAGGGGCGTCGGAGGCCCATGAGGCTGCGGACAGCGTGGCTGTTGTTGCCAGCAAACACATTCACCAGGCTAGCGGCAAACTGGTAGCGTCTCTCATCCAGGTTTCTGCTGGGCTCTGCCGAGTGGGCCGCCTGGCTCTGTAGAGTAGCCGCCAGCTTTCTGAGGGAGGAGTCGGAGAGCTTGTAAAGAAACCTCTTAAAGCTGGGGTGTCGCCGGATCTGGAACCGAAAGGAGGGCAGGTGGTCAGCGCCGCTGGCAGGTGGTCAGCGCCACTGGCAGGTAGCCCCCTCCCAGCCGCCGCCCTTCCCTGATCCCCACGCAGGTGGGCCGGGAGCCTCATTTCCCTAGCAGCTAGGGTTCTTCCACCGCGCCCAGCCTCTCAGACAGGGGCCTGCAAGGTCCAGGGGACAGTGGCAGGGCCACAGGGAAGAAAAAAAACACCCCAGGGCTTCACACCCCAGTAATCTCATCCATGTCTCCTACCCCATTCCAGGAATAGCTCGAGCTTTCCTTATAACATTGGCTCAAAGGCCTAGTTGGGAAGAGAGGATTTCAATGCCATTAGACCCAAACCTTCCGATCCGTGCTACCAACTCGATTGGGAGTCACGGTGCCCCGTTGGTGACACAGTAGGCCTGTGCGCCGTGGCGTTGTCCTGACTGCGCTTTCTCCAGAAACAGACCACCAGGCCTTTTGTTCTGCTTGGCTCATCAACTTGTAGGTTTGCAACCAACTGAAGACCCTTGGGCCACCCAGGGACCTCGGTTCGACCACAGTGCCGTCAAGATGACCCAAGCAACCAACCTCTGCAGAGACTGCAACCTGGAAAAGCTGCGTTAAGGCCAACCGCAGGCCCAAGGGGGCCCTGCACACCACTGGCCAAACCAATTGCATTGAAGCCTCCCTTTCTGGGTAACTAGCATCTGTCTGCCCAGGAGCGAGCAACCACTTGTCTTTCCGACTTGGCCTGTGTTCGGTATTGAACGGGCGTTTACAGAATGAATGTCTGTGACCTGTACGGAGGAATCTGAGTTTCATTCTTCTCACTGTGGATAATGTAACAGGCTTTTCAGAAGACTAAAGCACAGCTTTTTGAATCGATTTAAATTAAAAAAAAATTTTTAAGCTCAGATCTTCAGGTTCAGCTAAATGATGTGTAGATTACATCTAGTCATTGTGTGACCTCTGAGCTCCATCCCTGGCAATATGCATGTCCTAGTGGAACGATGGGCTTCAGGCGCTGATGTTGCTGAACTAGATCACCACGCCTGTCTTCCGGGTGCCTCTGAGTAAGTTTGAACTGCCAACCCTTTGGGATAGAAGCTAAATGCTTAACCATTTCGGTTGTTGGTGGGTCAGGTTAAGTGACATAGTTTGTGGACCCTCGTGGGCACAGCGTAGCTGTTAGATGAATTTTAGTTTCGATGCTACGCCTCCTCCAGGAAGCTCCTTGCTCTTAGCAGTTAAATATCTTAGGTTGGGTTTCCTCAGAAGTGGATCAAAGGTAAGGATGTCGGGGCAAGAAGTTCACGTGGGAAGTGGTCCCCAGAAACACCGATGGGGGGATGGAGACATAGGGTACAGATGGGAAAGGAGTCCACCCAGCGTGGCAAGTTGAGCACTGAGGAGCCCGTTTAAATACATTCCTCAGAGTTACCCCTCCCGAGGGGCAAGGGAGTCAGGGTTTTTATACACCAACTCCCATCAGCCATTGGTTGAGGGTCCTTAGGAGCTAAAAGAAGACTTTTAAGTGATCAACCACAAGAACAACAAAACCAATGCCGGTCGGTCAATGCGGATTCATAGGACCTCCTGTAGGTTTCCCAAGATTGTAAGTCTTCATGGGAACAGACAGCCTCCTGTTCCTGCAGAGCAGCTGGTGGCGTTGGACTGCTGACCTTGTAGGTAGCAGCCCAATGCCAACGGCACATCCGAATAAACCAAAAAACCAAACCCACTGCCATCGGGTTGCTTACCCAGCAGCGCCACCGGGCTCCTCTGCCCAGTCTATAAACCCAAATGAAGCTCATTGCCGTCGAGTCAAGGCTGACTCCTGGCGGCCCTATGATGGGGTAGGACTGTGTGTCTCCGAGACTGGAACTCCACAGAAACAGATGGTCTCGAACTGCTGACCTGGCTGTCAGCAGCCCAACCCAGCAACGGGTCCCAGCCACTAGACAGGGCTCCTTCCACCTGGTCATAGGAGCGCTAATTCCAGAAACCAGTCCCAGGCAATAGGAGGCAGCGGGAAGTTGGGCCTTGGGCAGTAAGTCGTGGGAAGGGAGACACTGATTAAGCATTTATGACCTCCAGGTGTTTGTCTCACCCCTTGGACTGGGAGCCCATCCAGGGCAGAGCATCTTCTCTTAATGGGCTTTCTTGCAGGGGGGAGGAGGGTGGACAAGCTGGACAGACTTAGAAATCAAGGTGAAAGAGGAGACAAGCAGAGAATGTGATCAGAGGGCTGCCTGGTTAGGGTGGTGGGCAGAAGGGGGACTTCCAAAGAAGGTGGGACTGGAATGGGCTTCAACAGTAGATATGGAAGCCAGGGGGCCACCTGGAGCATGATGGTATGGTAAACCAATGTTAACCTCATCATGCCATGGGGTTACCGTTCCACACCCGCGCTAAACTTTGTCAAGTGGGCATCTATCTCCCCCCACTTTTTGCAAATGAAGAGGCTCAGAGAGGTTAAGGGACACGCCAAGGTGGCCTAGAGATGGGCGTTGAACTCGGGCCTTGGTTGTGAGGTCCCCAGGGCGGTTCTCACCTGCTTGCCCAGCTGGCCGTCCAGCGCCTGAAGAAGCGCCACCAGCTCCTGGATGATCAGCTCTCCTGGAAAACAGAGACGGACGTGGGGGAGAGGCGGTGAATGGAGGGTCTCCAGGGACTCCCAACAGTCCATTCCTGCAGTGACCCACCCATCGCTCAAAGATGGTGTTTTTCCTCTAAAACACAGCCCACAGGTTCGGGGTCCATGTGTCTAGGTGAGTATACACGGAGGCTGGCCATTACAAATGTCTCCCTCCCACATCTCTTGCACACAGACTCTCTCTCCACTCATGCCTTCCCGCACATGCCAACAGCCTCCTATGCATGTCACAGGCCACATCACCCCTTTCGTGTAAACTTGCCGATCAGGGGGCTACACGGTGCTCTCCCGACACTAGTGACCAGCCTCCACCCCAAGGGGATATGAGTGATTCCTTGCTATGGGGACGACTTCTCTCTTCCCCTCCTCTGAGTCGTCCTGCAGGCTGCGCTTCCCCATGAAGCCTGCTACCTCACTCCCATTGCTCAATTCTTGTGCCTGGTCGATTCTTGTTCTGTCCCTTTGAAAGGCAAGGAAACACCTTCTCATCCACTAGGGCTGGGTCATAAGGGTTTTGCCTTCTAGAATTACAAGGGTCTTTGTTTATCTGCCAGGCCCCGTCTGGACCCACTGGCAGCTCCACTTGACAGATGGGGACACAGAGACCTCGTCCCACTGGGAGCAGGAGCAGCAGATTGGAATACAGGGAGGGGGACAGGACGCATGGTGGCTGGGGCAGCAGGAATACACCATGGAGCTGGGTGGTGAGCCTGCTTATCCCAGGATTGTAAATATCCAGGAATTCCGTTAAGCCATTGGCAGCTTGAAATAGGCCACGGTGGGAATGGTTACAGCACAGACATGTGCAAATGCTACAAATCAGGACTTGTTATGTGTTCTCTAAAGCCTATTTCCCAGCACACCACCGGTCATGAGACGCAGAGCAAGCTAGGAAGTTTATGTGAAAAACCAAACCAGGCCAAGATGAGAGTAGGGTGCTAGTCAGGTTACTGTCCACAGAATCAACAGGTATTCTTCTCTCCATTTGCAATTTTGCCCAACACAGGCCAAGCCTGTGTCCAGCCCGGTTCTCAAGTTTCCTGGGGAATTGGTTCGCTGCCCTCCCAAGCCTCCCTCCACCTCCACCTCCTCTGGATTGCACCTGTGAAATTCCACGCAAAGAGAATCACCCAGAAGAGCAAGGGTGGCACTCACGGGGTTCACTTTCTCCGTCCAGCTGTGGCTCCCCTTCTGGCTTGTGGCTTCTGCTCTGGGAGGGTGAGTCTAAGCAGCCCACTGGTCCCCCTTCTGCGGATGAGGGCTTCCGGAGATCGGCATCCCCCGAGTCTAAGGGCCAAAAGGGGTTGGCGTGAGTGTCTTTTACATCTGTCTCAAATCCACAGACAGACAGGTGAGCCGAGGTCCTGACAAGACTGGCCTAAGAAGGGGCCTTGGACCAGCCTTGAGGAGTTCAGAGGATCCCTCCAGGACCAGAGCCCACCTCCATGTGCCCCTGGCAACTAGAGGCTGCTCACCAAGGCTGCCGGAGATGGAGGGCCGGTGGCCACCAACGCAGAGCGGCAGGAAGCTGGGTCTCTTGGGAGGTCGGGCTTCTGGACTGGAAACATCCGTAGCCCCTGCTCTCTTGGGCTCCTTGTAGCCATGCTTCTTATGAGAAAAGGCTCTCCTGAAGGTAGATTTTTTCTCTGGAGATTTCTTCCTGGCGGCTGGGGACAGGCTTTCTACAGCCACCTCTGACTGCGGTGTTTGAAGTCGCTGAGGGGGAGATGAGAGAAACTGAGTCAGGGGCCCTGAATTTGAGGAGATTGGTGGTGGGGGGGGCTAGCATTCTCTGAACAGCAGACCCACTGGGGGTCAGAGGGTGTGGCCCAGACAAAAGAGCAAAAGATGTTGGGAGCTGGAGAGAGGTGCAGCCTGCAGCAGTGGGAAGAAGCTTGGGGAAGGAAGAGGGGCAGGGTTGAGCTTGGCCAGATGCATAAGTGACAGGTGGGAGGAGGTTGGTGGGAAGGTCTTATGGCAGGCAGGGGGCAGAACGGTCCTAGCGAGGGCCAGTGCTGGGCTGTGTGCGGACTGTCCTTACCTTCTCTAGCCCCGGCTCCTCCAGGAGGGCAATGATCCTCTGAAAGAATTCGTCTAAAAAAGACCAAAGCGGGTGTTTACATTTTAATGCTTTCACAGCTTGTCTGGGGACCACGCTTCATTGCCTAAGGCCTGTTGACCCTTCAGGGTGCCTGCTGTTGGGGCTGCCCAGCACCCACAAGCTCCTGGGGTGGGGGCGGGGGAGGCTGGGCACACTTCTTCCTTCATCTGTGAGCACCAGGTTCGAGAGGACTCAGACAGAATGGGCCCTTGCCTCCAGGGGAAGGTGCCGAGAGAAGGCTGTTGGCAAGGCCTGCTCCCCGCAGCCCCGCACCCACACTCCCTTCCTCTTGAGGCGTAATTCACACGCATAGAGTCATGCCTGACTCACAGTGACCCTACAGGACAGGGGAGAACTGGCCCTGTGGCTAGAAGGCCTGTCTCTCTCCCCTTCAGACCTAAAGGGGTCCCTTACAGACCCTCCCCCCAACCCTTGGGAAAAGTCAAGAAGGCTGTGAATGGCACCAGGGGAGGGCGGGGAGCTGAGGTCCTTAAAAGACACAGAAGTGACAGTGACCATGTAACCCTGGGCCTGGCTCTGCCAACCATGGAGATATTAGCATGACAACAGCTGCCACCCTAACCACAACAGCTGTGTGTGGGGCTCACCCCGGGGACCTGCCCGAAGAGACTGCTCTCAGGGGTGACAGGCGGAGCCTCGTTGTCCTTGTGAGGTGCTCCCGGCTGATCCTAAGTCAAGGCAGCCACGTGGGACAGAGCAGAACTCTCCCCACGGGGTTTTCATTGGACTATTTGGAAGCAGCTCACTCGCTTTAAACCACCAGCCTTTCCCTTAGCAGCTGTGCGCTTAACTATAGCGACACCAGGGCTCCTTTGAGCCCCTGTAGGGGCTCCCAAGAACTCTTACCATTTCCATTTTAGAGATGATGAAGTGGAGACCAGAGAGGGGAAGCGACTGGCCCAAGGTCACAGAGCTCCGAGATGTCAGAGTCACATTCAAACTCAGAGCCTTGACCATGGGACAAAGCCTCCTTGCTTTATCCGTCTGCCTCGCCTCAGGGAGTGCCCTTGCCACTTCCAGTACCCTGGCAGCCAGCCCTGCCTGCTCTACTGGGGAGGGTGTGGGCAGGTCCCCGCCCCCTCGGGCTGGTTTCTCTTCTCCCAGGGGACAGGCCAGGCTAGCTATGTGCCGAGGGAAAGGTCGGAGGTACTGACTGGATTCCGAGGCTCTGTCCCGCTGCAGCTCCTCCTCAGGCCCCAGGTCAGGCCCTTGTCCTGCTCCCACGCTGAGCTCAGAGAGGCTGGGATCCTTCAGATCTGTAGACAGGGTCTCTGGGCCTTGAGGGTCTTCCAAGTCTGAGAGGCAAAATGCACCGTGGGTGTGTTCGTATCAGCGTGTTCACAGAGGCCCAGGGGTTCATTCACCCAGACTCAAAGTGAGCTCTGGGACAAGGCGTTGCTGGCAGAGGGGGCGGGAGAGGGGGGGGGACAGTCTGCTGGGCTGGGGCTCTCTGGTTGCCTGGCCAGACCAAGGCTCTTATCCCGCCATGGCACTGGCCGCCCTGGCTCCTCAGCTCCCCACTGCCTCCGCCATCCATACCTGGCCCACTGGTGAAGATGCGTCTTTGGGTGCCTGAATTAATGGATTGTGATCCCCCTACCTCTGCCCTGAAACTCCATCATGAGAGAGTCATTCTTTGGAGTCAAGCATTGCCCCCCTTTAAAAAAAATGCGAGTGCCCTTGGCCAGGATGACCTCCCTGATGCCCAGCACGAAGCCATTTGTCTCTAGTCCCGTTTCCATCCTTGTTGGGCCACGTGACCCACTTTGCTTCAGCTCCCTCTTGTGTAAAACCCAGATGGTGCCGGTATTTCAAAGGTGGCTGTGAGGGCTGCCTGAGGGATAGCTATGCAATCGTGGGGGCGTGCCCTTTAACAGGTGAGGAAACTGAGGCACAGAGATGGGGAATGACATAGGAAACACAGCTCAGCCCTCAGGGCTCCTGCCTTCCAGACTCCCCACCAGGGGTGGACCCACCAGGAGGGTTGGCTTTCCATCGTGGGTTACCTACTCTTTAAGGAGGTTTTGTGTGTGATTGTGGGCCGCCTACTGATAGCTGGTCCCTTCTCTCCTCCCCACAATCCTCCCCTTTCCCCTATTTGCTGAATAGAACGGCAGAAGTCGGAAGACAGCCTTACAATGGCTAACTCAGGCCCTAGGGACAGTGCCAGAGCTGGCAGCAAATGCAGTGTTGCTATGGCAACCGTGTCCCCCGCTCACCAGTGCTGCTGGAGGTGGAGGGCCGATGGCCACCAACACACAGGGGCAGAAAGCTGGGCCTCTTGGGTGGCCGGGCCTCGGGATCATGCTTCTTATGTGCAAAGGGTCTCCGGAAGCTGGCCTTTCTCTCTGAGGATTTCTTCCTGACAGCGGCGGGGGCCGGGGTTTGAACTGCCAGCCCAGGCTGTAGGGCTTGAAGTCTCTGTGGGGGAGATGAGAGACACTGAGTCAGGACCACCACCACCCCCCACCCCGCAGGAAAAATCAGAAAGCAGCCAAGTGATACAGGGTGACCCCGCATAAGGGGAGGCAACACAGTCCAAAGCCCAAGAAGGACTACAGTCTGGGTTAGGGGTGGAGGGAATGCGATGGCTTGGGGGTGGGGGGAGCAGAGAGCAGGCCTGGAAGGGGGCGTGGCATGAGAAGAGGGGAGCCCCCGGAGACTGGCGAGATGGTTTTCTCCTCACCTGTTTTTCCCAGTCGTCTCCCACTTTCTGGAGAAACTCCACTATCATCTGGATGATTGCGTCCTCTGGAAGCAAGAGCACGGACCCAGTTAAACTTTCCAAATACACAGAGAACGCTTTCTACATCACTGGCTTGGGCTTCTGAGACGAACGTGGGCCTTCAGGTGTGGCTCAGGGCTCCCCTAAGCATGGTTTGTTAGGTAGATTTCAGGCCTCTGAACTACACAGGTCTGCCAAGGTCTGCTTTGGGTTCAGCAACCTGTGTGACCTTGGGTGAGTCTGGGTCTCCATTGCTTCCCCCTACAAAATATGCATTGTAATTCCTACCTGGCCTCCCTCAAAAGGCTGAGAGCCATCAAAGGAGTAGCTTGGGTCAGAGACACTTTATAAGGCTGATGCTGATCTTCCAATCTGCTCATTTCCAGGAGGGCGCCTGGTCTAACCAGGCCCAAGGGCAGAAAGACACCAGCTGCCATGACTCAGAGGCGGCCTGTCACGTAGGATCCCAAGGTTTCCCAGACAAGCCACAAACAATAGGCTTGACTTTCTTTGTTATCCCAGTCAACTTACTCAAGGACAATATTCCCAGGCTGACCTCTGTCTGCTCACAACCAGTCCAGCCATTTATTCAGAAGAGGAGCAAACAGTACCCGCTGTTCCCAGACGGACTGCCATTTGCTTTTGTTTTTCCTATCTCCTTCCCCTCTCTTACTTCCACACCCCTTATAAATCTACTCAGACTACCCTGTGCCTTGAGAAAACAATTAACACGTAAAATAACGAGGCAGCCTGCACAAATAAGGACCTCATGCCTAAGGAATTCTCTGACAGACCCAGAACACCTCTGTTGCAGATCATCTTTTAAAATCCACGTCCTTTCTATAGAAGGAATTAGATGGATGGGGAAGTGAGTGTTGACTATGCTGGGATCGGTAGCCGTCCTGTCCTAAGGTTGTGTATGAGAAGGTCCTTCATTTGGGGAGATGCGTGCTGAGGTCTGTCGAGGGGAAGCCTCTTTTACTTTAAAATGATGGAGCAACAAAACTATCCACACATATGAAGCAGATATGGAGGTCATCCGTGGTTGAATCTGGGTAGTTGTGAAGGTACAAGCATGAATTGAACTACTGTTTCAACTCTTTTATATATCACGGGGGCTTCAAAAGGTCCATGGGAGAATTTCATTATCTTTTCATTCCATTTTGAAGCCTACAGATATGTACACAGAGATCGATATGGACATGTATGCTTTTTCATTTTAAAAATGAGTTCATTAAGAATCACCGTATTCTGAAACAACTTTTTTCATATAATATGCCTTAGTTTCCTTTTTTGACATTATTATTCAGTGTAGGACACTGCTCTTTTTTTATTATTCCATTGTACTTTGATTTATTGACCTCTCATTCCTTATTGAATGGATCTTTTTATAAAAAAAAATCTTTTTATTGTAGTTTGGGGTGAGTTTCCAGAACTTAAATTAATCCAACAATTGATAGGACTTTTTATTTAGAACTTTGGTTGCAGCCCTCTCGTACAGTGGCTCTCTTCCACTGCTTAGTTTCAATAGGCTCTTTTTACCTGACCCTCCCTACCACAGGAGCTTTATTTGGGGGGATGGGGGCATCGTGGCCCTTTTGGTCTCATGCAGTTGAGTGTAGGCATATATATATTAAAACTGTCGATACCAGGGGAGAATGTCTTAGTCCCATTAATATAGTCCCTGGAAGGACACTCAGCTGCTAAACCAAAGGTTGAGGGTTCAAGTCCACCCGGAGGAGCTCCTTCAGAAGAAAGTCCCAGCAATCTATGACAGATCCCCAGCCATGGAAAACCCCAGGGGTCCCAGCTCTGTTCAGACACACAGGGGTCACCATAGTGGGAACTGACTCCACAGCAGCTGTTTGCTTTCATTTGCCATAGGGTGCATTTGCCGGGAGCTCTTTGATTCCTAAGATAGCTTCCCGTGATACTCCAAAGCAGTGGTTCTCAAACTTATCTGTCCTACCACCTCCTCGCCAGAGAGAAAAATTGACTCGGTGCCCCCTTGGCAGTGAAACACTTCTGTACTACCATTTGTAAGCAGGATGAAGTGTCAGTATCCGCTTTTGTAGCCCCGCTGGATCATTCTAGTGCCCCCCAGGGGTGGTATCACCCACTTGGGGTAACCCTGCTCTAAAACAGGTGGGCATATCGAGAGCGCCCACTCGAGGTCATGTGATCGTTCGGAGGCAGTGGTCCCGGCTCTAAGCTAAGAGGACACTGACTGGATGGGGACGTACTGTCAGGCTGTTGGTCTCCTCCTCGCCCGTGGCCAGTGGCTTGGGAAGACTCATCCACGACCCCAGCCGATCCTCCTTCAATGAACAAGGACTCCTGGAGATCAGGATCTTCCCAGCCTGGAATAAAGATGGAAGTGAGTCTGTGGGGACGGAGTGGGGTGGGGGGCTGTCAGCATCTGACCTTGTCGGCCAACATGCGGAGCCAGCACAGGACCCAAAGCGGAGCCAGCTCTAGGCTTCCACTGAAAGGCTGGACTCCAGCAAGGTTTTAACTTGAAACAAGGCTGCCTCCATCCACTTTCCTCCTCCCTCCCCCACGCCCCAAATCCTGGCGCTTCCCTGGGGGTCTTCTACTCATCAAGCTCTATAGGGCAAAACTCCATCTGCCCCCAGGTGTCTGTGGAGCATCTCAGACATTCACTCACAGGGTACTGGGTGTCAGGACAGGGAGGTACCTGGGAGACCAGCTCCCTCATCTCCCTCAAGGTCACACAGAAAGCTTATTGCTAGTAGAGTTATGTCCAGAACTGAGGCTCCTGGCACCCATGCAATTGTCCCAAGACCTCACACACGGACCCTGGAAAGAGTTGGCTTTTGCACTTTACAACCCTTCCTAGGATCTCAGGAAGATGCCAGCTCTATAGGAGGGACCCTGTAGGACAGGCTAGAACTGCCCCTGTGGGTTTCAAGTACTGTTACTCTTTACAGGAGTAGAAGCCTCATCTTTTCTCCTCAGAGGGCCTGGTAGGTTTGAACTGCTGACTTATAGGTTAGCAGCCCCACTGCACCACCAGGGTTCCATTTCCTGGGATAACACTCCTCAAGTCGGCGTACTTCACACCAACAGCCACCACGACAGAGCGCTGTTCGCCCGGCACAGGCTGGGCATTGGACAAAGCTGGCACAGGCTGGGCATTGGACAAAGCTGGCGATTCAGTCTTTGGGAGAAAGATGAAATTGCCTTACCCCCATAGAGCTTCCCAGTCTCAGAAACCTTATAAAGGATTGCTGAGTCAAAAAATGGCTCAATGGCAGTAGGTTGTTTGCTTGTCTTTGGTTATCGGAACTAGGTGACCTAGAAGCCCTGGTGGTGCAGGAGTTAAGCGCTCCACCGTTAACTGCAAAAGTGGCTTGAGCCCGCACCAGCGGCTCCCTGGGAGAAAGAGGCAGAGTCTGCTTCTGTAGAGATCGGCTTGGGAACCCAAGGTTCAGAACCAGCTCAAAGGCCATGGGTGTGGTTTGGGGTTGTATCCCTGTGACCACCCCATGAGAGAGCAACTGTTACCTCCATCTCACCCATGGTTGGGGGTGGGGCAAATTGAGGCTCAACGAGGAAGCCGCCAGCCCTGAGTCACACAGCTATGGGCATGGTGGAGCTGGGTTTGATCCCAAGTCCTCAGTCACCTTGCTGCTCTGCCCTCATAGAAACGGCACAGTGGTATTGTCCCCAAGAGCTCCCCGACTTTGCTGCCCTGCCTTTTGAGAAGCTTGAAGGGCAAACTTAGGCCACCCTAACCCTTGGAGGGGAAGCAGTGTGCAGGGTGTGTGCTTACCCCTGTGAGCTTGGCCCAGATCCATAAACTCGGGGTCTGAGGCAGCCACCTGGGCCTCCTGGCCCGAGACTTCCTGACCCTGGGTCCCCTTGCTTTCCTCGGCAGCGTGTTTCTTTGCTTTCCTGCGGCTCACCTTCTTCTCATGGGATTTCTTCCTGATGACTGGCTCCCCGGGGGTCCTGGGGGTCCCGGGGGACGCTGCGGGCTGGGAGAGGTTCTCCCTCCCCTTGGGCCTCTTGCTGGCCTTTTCCTTGGGCTCCTCGGGGCTTGTCCTCAGGAAGAAGTTGAGCAGAGTTTTCAGCCACCCGGACTGGGTCCGCCTATGGGCTTTGTCCTTCTTGGTGTCCCGGGCCGACTTCTGCTCACTGGGGATAAACTTCTGGGTCTCTTCCAGACCGAGGGCAGCGGCCGAGGTGCCTCGGCCCTCCGGAGACTGAGCTAGGCTCTGGGAGCATGGGGCCCCATCGCTGACCGTCCGGCGAAGTCCCCTCTTGGAGGGGGCGCTGTGCGTAGAAGGACGCTGACCATCCAAAGACTCCTGCAACCTGTCCAGAGAGCTGGCTCTCCTGGTTGACAGCGGTTTCCCCGGGACCTGCGGACTCTCCATCGGGCTACAACCAAAACAAAGAACGTCCTTAGAAGGGGCTTGGCCCAGACGCCAGGGGCATTCTCATTGCAAGGCTTAATAGAGTCTGCTAAGAACCGAAGTTCCTCTGTGTTTGCCCCCAAGCCCAACCTATAATGTTCTGCCCCGAGGCTGAGCCTGCAAAAAAGTTCTGCACGGCCTGGAAAGGATGTGCCTTTGTCTGAAACCAGGGAACCAAGGACAGTGATGACCAGAATGGAATCAGAGAGCTATGAACGAGGAAGACCGAAAATGACAGCCTGGAGCTTTCATGATGCCGATCGACCCAGAAGACCTCAGCCTGTGTTTCTCAGCCCCGAGGGGCCAAGCCCACGGCCCGGTTCTATACAGTATAGAAGGGCACTGGTCCCTGAGCTCAGGGCT